TAGTGATTCGTGCCTAGTGGTTAGTGAATATTGGTTAGTTTGTAGTGAATCGTGAATAGTGAGTAGTGAGTAGTTAGAAGTGAGTAGTGCGTAGCAAGTAGAAAGTAACGGGTCGTGAGTAGTGCGTAATGACAGTGAGTGCTGTTTGGGGCTGGGTTTTGGGCTTCTGGTTCAGGGTGAGGGGCAGGGGTCGGCGTCCGGAGCCAAGGGGCGCCGTGGCGAAGGGGGGAGGGGGGGGTCGAATGTGGCGGCCAAAGAGAGGGAGAGAGCGGGGGGGGGGTTCGGTCCCCCCTCCCCGTGTGAAAGGGGGGAGGGGAAAAACCCGGAATTTCACGGGTGGAAACCCGGAACCCGTGGGTTCGGGATTTTCAGAATTCCTGAAGGTCCCGGAAGGAGAAAACCCGGAACCCAAGGGTTCCGGGGTCTTCAAAACTCTTCGAGGATCCGGAAGGAGAAAAACCGGAACGGGGGGAGGGGGGAGGGGTCCCCGACGACGGACCGGGAAGGGGGGGAGGGGGGGGGGGCTTCCCGACGACGGACCGGGAAAGGGGGGAGGGGGGGGTCCCCGACGACGGATCGGGGAAAGGGGGGGGAGGGGTTCCTTCTCCCCCCCCCCTTCCCAAAGCATCCCGGGACCTCAGAAATCAAGGGTTGAAGGGTTGAAGGGTTACCCTGGGGTTGGCTACCTTAGTTACGCTTCCCCCAACCTTAGTTACCCTTCGCCCAACCCTTCCCCCAACCTTAGTTACCCTTCGCCCAACCCTTCCCCCAACCTTAGTTACCCTTCGCCCAACCCTTCCCCCAACCTTAGTTACCTTAGTTACCTTAGTTACCCTAGTTGCCTTACTTGCCTTTGCCTTGGTTTCAAATTCAATGCCCCAGTCAATATCATACAGAAAACTTGCTGTTTGGGAACGGGCGCGGGGCCAAAACGCAATTTCAGGGCAAGGGTGGTAGCCATCTTCAGGGTTAACCATCACCCGTTCAACCCTTCATTTTTGCGGCGCAAGGACCACACACAGTCGGCGAATAACTGTTGTGCTCGCTGTCGCGCTGCACTGCGATAGTCCTCGCATGCGCGGCGCAAAGGCGAGAGCCACAGTTTAAAAAGAAAGTGCCCTCTATCCGCGTGTACTTGCGATCAACTTGTAAGGCGAATGCGCGAGGCGCTACGGCGAGGGCCACATTTTGAACTCCGCATCCCCATCCATCCGTGTAGCTGTTGCAAACGTTTAAGACGAATGCGGCGCGAATGCGAGAGCCACATTTTGAATCGCGGTTGTGGTCATCAACGTTCACGTCGTCATTGCGTTCGCCTCTCGCCCTCCCCTCCCCCAACCCCTCCTATTCCGCATCCTCCTATAGCCGTTTTGGGTCAAATTTGAGTTCGAGGTTGCCAGCCGCTGGTTGTTTCTTGCTCACAACGCATAGTTGGCATTGTTGTGGCCATGGCTGTTCCGCGTCTTGTGACCAATAACGCAGTTACGGCCCAGGACTACAAAGACATGTTTGTGAAGGCTCACCAGAGCTCTGGGTGCATGGCGATCGACGAGATGCTAGTCGACCCGAAAAATAAAACCCACCAGATCACGCCTGATGACATCTCCCGTTGCTCACCATTGGTCGAGGCGATGCTCCGCGCTGGCCTGAAGAACGCAGCGATGTGCGCTGCTAAGTTCGAGCTTGGGCTCCGCGACGCTGCCTTCGCCCACCACGCCCTCTTCAAGGCCAGCGGCGACGCCAAGGAGCTCGCTGTGGTCAAGCTCCGCACGCACGTCTGCTGCGTCCTGGGTGTGTTGAGGACGTTCAAGCGCGAGCAGCAGGGGGCTTCCTCGGGGGCCGTCCAGAAGACCAACGGGCTGAAGAAGAGGTCCAGTGCAGCCCAGCTGGTGCTCATCAACTCGCTTTGCTCCAAGATCGAGTTCGACGTGGAAGACCGCAGCGTCGCGAGCAGTCGCGCGCAGTCGGCGGACCCGCCCATCGAGAGGCCCAGGGAGACCGCAGTGGTAGCTCGATCACCTTCGGGGCTCCCGACGTGCTTCAAGCAGTTTTTGGATCGTCGGTTGGAAGCATCTGGCGCAGCTCAGTTCGGAGTGCCCGTCTGGACAAACTTGGACGAGATGGAGGCGCATTGGGCTTCTTCCCCCTATCCCTGTAAACCTCCAAAGGAAAATGAATTGCTTTCTAGGTACTCCTGTTCCTACTCCTGCTCCTACTCCTACTTCTATTTCTACGTCTACTTCTACTTCTAATTCTACTCCTACTCCTACTCATACTTCTACTTCTACTTCTACTCCTACTCCTACTCCTACTCCTACTCCTACTCCTCCTACTACGACGACTATTACGAATAATAATACTAATAATGTCGTGGACCCTA